GATCTTCGTTCGTATCAGTGGAACGGAAATACCCGCAATACCTTTTATGCAGTTTACTGGACCATCTGAGGTCACTTTGCCAACACATCTCCGGCTCCGTGGTGGAAATTCGACGAATTTTTCGAAAATGACAATTCGAGTTCTTGTTCCACTTAATGCTCTAATTCCTCCACTTGCTGTGAGCACGTTCTGAGCACCAATAATTATTGATATGTTCAAACCTCAGGTGTTCGTGTTAGTGGACGAAAAAATTTATACGACGATAACTGTAAATATTAGCAATGTTTTTATTTACACATAAAGCGAGAATTAACCTTTTCTGGACAAAATACCATCTGAATAAAAGCGCATGTTATGCATTTTTTACAGTCAGAAAATACAGTAGTAATTAATTACGAATTACTAAATGAGTTTTAACGGAGACTATATTCTTTAGTACTTTCAGGTACTATTGTCTGTATTTATTGAAATGAGTTCATGGAATAGACTTATTCCAACACCGAAATAGAAAAAATATTTTACTTTATAACTGATAAACTTATAACTGATGAAATACATACGAATAAGTATCTGTTTTGATTTTAATTTAAATTCTTTTTTAAATAAATGTTATTTAAAAGTTAATTAAAATGTTGAATGTTAAAAAATGGTTAATTTTACAAAAAATGGGAAGACGTAATGGTTTTATCTAAAATGCGCTATTAATTTTGTCAATGGTTGCCAAAAATCCTGTGTTCGGTCAAGGTTATACATATGTGAAATGTTTTATTACTTTTTTAAGCTAGTTCGCTAAGCGACAGTTAACTACACTGTCAAAATAAATATTTGAGGTTTTTACCGTTTACGGAAATTCCAGTTAATTTCCCAGAACTTTTGAAATTCACTTAATTAAAGTTTGAAAAAATATTATTTATTGTGGTAACAATTTAGGTATTTTCTCGTACTATTGTGGGTATAGAAATAATATAAAATGTACAGGAAAATACTGCCTTAAAATTTACGTCCAAGATGGTGTCCTTACCTGAAACACTCTGTTTTCATGTGCACAACCTATAAGAAAACATTAATGTCTCTAACTATTACCTACAGACATATTAAGTTTAAGTTTTTTCATAAATAATTTTTGATTTTGTTAGTTATTTTTTAATTTTGTTCAAAAGTTTATGTATTTCAAAAATAATTCTAATTTTGGAAACTTACTGTTATGCGAAAAGCATTCAGATTTATGGTTTGACTGAAGTTTTTTTTTGTTTTTATTCAAAATATAAAAATAATCCATAGAAATGACCTGTTTTATTTTGCGTGAATAAATTATTACGCGAGTATATATTATATTATTATTATTAAAATAACTTGACCTAACCCAATTACGGTTTTTAGATGCTTTTTTACCTTCATTTTTGTAAAATTTAATGAGTACAAAGGAATTTGTAATTTATAATTTGAATAACGGATTTCAAAGAAAATAATAAGAATTATTTTACAATTATTTTAATTAAAAGCAATGTAGGACACCAAATTCGTACCTCTTTCGACTTAGAACACGTTACATTTTTCCACTTGAATATGTACTTTTTTGCTCAGCTGTAGAATGTACCACGACATAATAAAACCTGAATGTGTTGTGTCACGATTATAATTCGACGTCTCAAGCAACCATTGCTCTGTAACGGACGATGACTCCTGGCAGTTCAACGCATTTGCTCACCTCCTCGTATTTATAATAGAACGAAGCAAATTAAAGCAACCGTTGCGTATGCAGAGCAAATTGTTTAACCATTGCGCCGACTATTTAATTACTTTCGGTCAACGAAATCGAATTTTTTTCTTCTCCTCATTTTTCCAATTAACAATTGAGTAATTTCAGTTATATAAAGGTGTCGGTTCGTGTTTGAGCACACATGTAAATGGCGTGTGAGCGGCCGATGGCGGAAGAAATCCGAAGAGAATGTAGATCTTCGAGCGCGCCTCGAGCGTTTTGGTAACGGAACAGAACCACGTGTTTTCCTCTTCGTCTTTCCACCTGCGACGTTCTTGAGAATAAGTCCTGACCTACAAGGCCGTGGTACCGTCGCCCACATAACGCTAGAGATAGCTGAAAAAATCGCGAAATGTGTGCTGCCACTTTCAGTCGTTTACTTGCTAATTTATGCTAAATGTTCGATATGTTGGCACTGCTGGGATAATTGACTTCGAATTGGTCACGGTAGAAATTTTGTTCGGATTTTTTCGGTGATTTTTGTTTACATTTTTGAGAAAGTTGGGAAAAATAAATTATTGACGCTGTGCTGCTTCCTAACCACAGTTTTGATAAGTTTGCTAGCTTTTGTTAGTTTCTTTGGCGAATGGAAACACAGTTGAGCTTCCGCGTCAATACGTGCGTTAAATAACCGATGGAATTGTTTTGTATTGGGTCTAATTTCCTTGTATTCACGGTGGAATCGGAAGAAGAAAGTGAAAACACTATTGTGCTACAATGGAACCATTAGGATGAAGAAATAGCGCAATTTGCAAATTAGCAACAATTTATTTAAAATTGGGAGTATCCTTTGTATTTTTCTTGAAAGCTAGATAAATGGGACAATTTGCTACAACACAAAATGCAATTTGTTCTTTTTACTAACACGTCTAGCTTCACAAAGAAAAATCTTGTGGAAACTATGAATAAATAAATATTTAAGAAAGAAACTTACTCTGGTAGAGCTAAATAAAAAAAGATTGAAGAAACTAGTCAATTTATTAAATAAAAATTAGGTAGTTTCTAATTTGTTTAAATGAGTGAAATAGTTAATCAAAAACTGATTAACATATTAAGTAACGACACGTAAACTTAAAGAACTGTGGCCTTTTACATATTATGTAAATGTAAGTGTACTCGAATAAAAATTATTTGCACTTGCTTAATAACAAAATAAATCAAAAATTATTATTTATACTTTACTTTTGTAATGGTGTCGCATATTAAAACATTCATTTGAGTCTGCATAATTAGTAGTACGAGTAGTGTCAATGATGTCGAACAAATCAAGTCACTGTTACAAAATTTTCTGGACGAAAAATGCAATTTTTATTATAGAAGGTTAACTAGGTTTAAAATAAAAAAGAGTTTAGTAGGTAACTACTTCTTCTGATTGATAAATCAGTTATTTTCTGTTTTGAATTTCCATGAAAATACCAAAATACAGGCTGCGCCAGAACTCCCGTCCTAGTGAACAATGCCAAGATTCCAGAAACGTGGAAAAAATGTTAACAAAATTTGATCTATAAAGATTTCAAAGTTATGAGAGTTTAAATATTGTACTTTGACTTTATTTATTTCTGCTGGAAAAATAATTTTTCAAGTTTTTTTTTTGCTATAGGCTATTAGAAGAGGAAACAAGGAAGTTGTAATTAATTAATTGTAACTGTTAAATGTTATTTGTGGCTTTTATTGTCAAAATTTTTGTACCTAAATAATTATAAAAAATACATACAAAATCATCAGTATCATTAAATAGACATGAAAAAATGTCAAATGTCAAAAAATAAATCTCAAAATTTTTTGACAGATTGAATTTTTTAAACATTTTTTCCATGTTCTTGGTATTTTATCTTACTTGAAATTTTACTCTGGAGCATCCTGTATTTTTGTACCTATCTCATTAAGTCATTACTACTGCATCTCGGCATAGTAGAAAACCATAAATTTCATTAATACTAACATAATAGTATAGTAATTGTATCTTTATTATTTAATAATTGTAAAAAAAATAAGCTGTTGTTGAATAACAGACAAACAAGTACCTACTACGATGCCAAATAAAAAAAATGGGGCACAAATTTTGTCGTCGCTTTCTGAAAATTCACTGTAAAGTAGGCTTTAAGGTCAAATGTGACTTTTCAAAAGCTCCAAAATGTCAAAATGCTAGTAACTACTAAGGGCCGTTTTACATTTGATGACTTTGCTGTCCCATTTTTTTTGTTCAGCATACTACAAATTGTATAAATGGTAGGTTTTCGATTAAAAAAACGAAAAAAAAAAAACACGTTTTTTAGGTTTTCTATATTTTATTGTTCAATAAACTGAAACACTATTATTAAACAATAATAATTGTGGGTTCCTATTTATTTAAAGTATATACATTTTCTCTTTTTGACTTTTGCGTCAAATTATATTGAAATAATAATAATAAAGAAGAAAGCAAGATTTTCGTGAAATTGTGATATTTAATTTATATTGACCTTTGTTTAATAATTCTTGAAATTTCTTGGGTCAGCTGGCGCACTGCATTTCACTTGAGTGAAAATTTGTCAATTTCAAGCGGTTGTAAAACAACCTTGACATTTTTGCAAATTAAAAACAAACCAAAATATCACTTTGGTAATAAAGCGGCAATAATCGTCTTCGATTATGGTTACGTCAGTAACCACATTCTTAATAACTTGCTTATTATAAGTTACAAATTGCAAATACAGCGGTAACAAGTTGTGAAACATCCACGACCTGTCCAGGTCCATGCAGTTTACATCTTTAGTATTTCGATCAGCACCTTGGATGCTACTTAAATAGTATGGAAGCCTTCTGGAAGTCGACCTTTGTCAAGGCGTGGTAGTTGTCTATAAGCATCTTTAAGTAATTGTAAAGTCGCCACAAGGTTATCTGCAATTGACACGCGACAGTCTACCAAACAGGTTTATATTTACAGAAGGTAATTCACAGATAACGAGTTTCTAGTCCGACTTTCTGTAAAAGAGGAGCCAAAACCCCGAGAAGCTGACACACATTCGAATTTTCGATTACGACACACCTAATTTAATTTCCGCCAGTTCATTGAACTAATCGTAATACAATAGAGTTATTATTATGACTAATCTCATAAAACTTTCTACGATTGTATTTGTCCATTTTGGGCCCAAGTCTGAGTCCGGTTCAATTCGCACATTCTTTCGAAAGCAAATGGCGAAAACCGGTTGATCTTCATTAGCGATGATTTCATGTGGGATTTTTTATCGGATTCCAGATCAGCCGGTGGCGCAGCGACCATGCTTCAAATCACCGAAGATACACCGCCTGACATGCTGGCAGGGGCCATGGATCTTACGGTACATCTACCGACTGGCAGAACAGTCAAAATGTCGGTGGAACGGAGGTAACTAACACCAGACTATAAACCCACTAAACTACTCCAAAACTAAATTTCCAGCACGCCTATGATGGACCTTTTGGTGCAAATCACCACCCATAACCACTTGCAACTTTCGGGATACACCCTCCAGGTCTTGGGGATGGCGCCTTCGAAAGAACATAGCGACAGCATTTTACCTTACAAACCAAATACTCCTATTGGAACTCTTGATACTCAACACATTAGAGTGGTACCCAAAGCGCGAACCGTTTCGGTACCCAAAAACGTCCCTCCCGGACACCAACCATTCGAAAGCACCTTCAGGTTGAAGGTTCACCTACCGAGGAACCAACTGTATGTCACTCGAGTCGGCCAAAGTGTCCACTTGGGAGACATTATGAAAAAAGTCTGCGAAGAAAAAATTCTAGACCCTCTTAAATACGAGTTCCGACATCCAGGTTGGTGGTTACATAAACTCTTATCAAGAGATAAACAAGATTTTATTGTCAGACCGTTTTATTGTTCTAATTACGACAAGAATTTCACAATGTTTATCCTCTAAAATATTTGTTTTATGATTTGATCAAGTTCGTAGTAACGTTTTGTTCTCATCGTAGGCAACTTGGACGAGATTCTGGACCCCAAACTCACACTCAGCGATTACGCAATCACGGAAATATATCTTGTCCAAAAAGGAACCGGAAGTCTGAACCAAGCTTTTTCAAGTGGAGACATTATGGCTCTTCGAAAAGAAGAAGAACGCAAGCAGATGCACAACAAGACGGGCGGGGGTGTCTTCAATTTGATCTTCAGAAGAGGAAAGTCGGTGAGTAATAACTAGTATTATAGGGAGCTTTGAAATAACTCATTTGTTTTAGAGTACTGGCTCGTTATCGAGCGACAATCGTTCGATTTCGCCGACTCACAGCGACGATTCCCGCTCTGTGACTCCTCCAGGAGTGCAACAACAAATAATTACCTCTCAAGAGCCCCCCGAACGGCCTAAACCTCCTCAAAGGAAGCGAAGACCGGCACCCAAACCCCCGCAAGACAAACCAAAAGTTGAAAATGGTCTAACTATCTGTCATTCAAGGAATAGTAGTGATAGTTCCGGTTATCACGAAGCTTCGATTTTGAGTGATAACAACACATCGTTGCCTCGAAGGCCCAAGTCAACGATGATTAGTGAAGAAAGTCAGAAAAGTCTAGGGGTACACAGTCACAGTACCAGTAATTTAAGTAAGATGAGTGCTCAGTCAAAGTCAACGTCTAGTTTAGCAGTCCCAAGTGAGTCATCGCGATTTATTTAGTGACTTGTCTAAAAAAGTGGTTTCAGGTCGTAAAAAGAAATCAGCACCTCCTCCGCCACCACCAGTATTAAAACCCGATTTTTCCGAAGCTAAACACCAAGAACCTAGTCCAGTAGTTGCTAGTCAACCTTGTATAGTAGTTCAAACAGGTAAGTTGGCTAGACGGCCGAGAAATAAAAGCTTTTCTGATGACGCCAAGTGGGAGCATTTTATTGCTAAGCTAAACAACATAATCAGCGCTAAGGCTGAAGAAGTTTTATAACATATAGTCATCAGAATCGCTCGGCTTGTACTGGTGATGGCTTCTTTAAACTTCCTCCTTATTATTTGCATGATAGAAACACATGGTAAAGGGCAAGAAAGTCTTGTAGTTAACAACACTAATCCCATACCAACACCCAGAACTCGAACCAAAATTACACCATCCCCGCGTCCGCGTAGCATTGTTAACGAACCCATTAAAGAAAACAAAAGCGAAGCGCCTATTGAAGTCAAGGAAAACAAAAGTACAGTTGAAGATTTCGAAGAAAACAATAGAGTTGAAACTGTCAAATATGAAGATATTACAAGCGAAACTGTCGTGACCCCAAGTGATGAGAAAAAAATTGAAGCGGTGAACAGTGAAGTCGTGAAAACAAATGACGATCCACTTGCGGCTGTCAATCCTCAAGTTGTCGATAAGGAAACTATCGGTAATGAGCCACCTCAAACAAGTGAACATTCCGACTTGAATGAAGATATTAAAAGTAAAGTTTCTGAATTGGCGCAGTTGCAGAAAGAGGGGGTCGATAATTTTTTCAAATCTTCGGAAAAATCAAAAGCTCCCGAAATTGTGGCCTTATACCCAAAACCGGTCAAGTCTGATCGCTACTCAAAATCGATTTTTGATTCTTATACCCGAAAAAGAGGTTTCCAGATCGGTAGTTCGCTTCTAGATGAAGAAAATTCGACTCAGAAAAGCTCTAGTGGGTTATCGACACCGACGTCAGTCTCTTCGGCTTTAAATGCTTTTGATTTTGTCGATGAAATAGAGGGATTGGACGTAGAGATGTTCACTGGGTCACTCTCTAAAAACTCCAAAAACAAAAGTGTGATTTTGAACGAATTGCACGGAATGCACGAGTTGGAAAATTTGAAGAAGAATCCATCTAGGGGTAGTTTGCGCAGTGTGAACAGTCTTCCCGGTTTCACAGGCACCAACATGAAGAAATGGAACAATGTTGAGGAACTCGACGAGATTTCGTTGAATTCAAACGGGGGGAAAAACGGTTGGGTGCTTGGGGACACTTCTGACACAGGCATGTTTTTACTAATTGCACCGCTTTCTTAAGTTTGTTTTTCTTTTGTTTTGTAATGTTGATGCTTTTGCAGAATCTTTAGCTTCATCGGCAAACATCTCACAACCCACTGATAGTCTCCTCTCTGTGCAATCACTTCCCGAACAGAAGCCGAAAGAAGTCGAAGAAACCACATTTACAGTGGCCCTCGAATCGGAACCCGACTGGCAGTACCAACTCCCCTCGCCCCCCAAGGCCTTCCGCGACTCGAGTCCAGCGGACGAATCAATCGCCGATTCGGTCGTGACCTCCCCCGAACTTTTTGAGAAACTCAAAGCTGTCAAAGATACCCAATCAGAGAAGGAGACTGCAAGTGACGTCACCAGCATGGTAAGCGAGGACGACAAACCTATTTTGAATAAACTCTCGCTTGAGAATCTCGAAAAACGCAAATCTTTGGTCTACAATCGCGAATTAACGACCACTTTAAAAGAAAAGAACGACACTTTTTCCAGCAGTTTGCAAAATTTTGAAGAGACGTACAATGAAGTGAAGAGATCTAGTCCAAAACAAGTGCTATCGACGAGCACTTTGCCCAATTTTAAAATCACGACTTATAACAACTCCAAACAGAAGTTGGATATCTTTGAGGATGATACAGTGAGGAGTAACTCGGATAAGAGCAGCAAGAGGAACTCTTTTGCTGAGCCCACTTTGGAGAAGAGCTATGTGGGGAGGTCCATGGAGAATATCTCCTTCAGGAAAAATAGTTTAGGCAGATCGGATGATGAATACAAGTTTTTTAAACCACCGAAACCGAAAAATTCTAGTGTTTTTCGGTCAGAGTCTTTTTCGAGGGAACCAACATGGGTACCAACTAAACCTGTTGCTAGATCCAAGTCACAAGTGGCTTTAAACAAATACAAAGACACTAAAAATTTGTCAAAAATGGATGATGATAGCCTTACTAAAAGCAGCAGTCTGTTTGATGTGTCTGGTCTTCAGAGCCTTGGGGTAAGTTTTGGTAATATTTCAAGAGATTTAGGATTATTTTTTCCGTTTTTAGGTGATGAGATTAATACAAAACAAGCTAAACACTCCGAATAATTCGACCGAACAGCTGGATTGCGAGAAATCAAGTTACCAGGAGCAACCCGAAATCAAGATTGAAGTACAAAAACCCGAAGGGAAACAAACGACTGTTAAGACATATCGGCCACCTTCGATCAACATGGGAACGTGGTCTGAAAGACCTAAAATACCGGTAAATGTCAAAGATGACCCCGATTACAAATCAAACACCTCAAAACTGATCGTGAATACAGTAAACAATGATATAAAAAGTCACAACAGCATAGAAGTACGAAATAAAACGACGTTCAGTAACGGAGTAAGCGTAAGAGTCGGCCCTGACACGAAAAATGTGAGCATCAAAGTCAACGGAGTCGAGCCACAAGCTCCCGGAAACGTGGTAATTAAAATTGGGGGCACAAAACCCGTCTTTAGGAAGCCTTTAGGGAACGTCAATGAGAACCAAAGGCCACATTCCATAGCCTTTGGTGGCGATTTTGACATTTCTAGAGTCCCGATAGTGAGGTCTGTTGAGTTTAAAAAACCCTACAAAGAGGTCCAGAATAATAATAACACTTCAATAACTCAAATTAATAACAGTAATAATGCTTATAAGTTGAATGGTTGGAGGCAAGTAGCGGAGGAGCCACCCAAACCCCCTCCGGTGGAGGCAAAACGGGTTTTTCGTGTAAAGAGTTTCGTTCAAAATTCGGCTCCTGTAGTCCGGGGGTTCCGAAATAATAGTAATAATGAGATTAATAGGGCATCGTGGAACCAACCCCACAGCTTTTCCACCCTGCCGGCCAAGCCTGCCCCTGTGAATTTCGCTGTGAACGCCCCTATTCCCTTCTCACAGAAAAATCTACGAAGGACTGAATCCGCAACGATGGATAAAAAAGTGCCACCCCCGGCCCCCGTCATGCCGAAGACTTTTTCAGGGGGTGGTGGCCGGGATTGCGGTGGGGATCCCAGGGATCAGTTGTTGCAAGCCATACGAGATTTCGGCGGAAAGAAGGGGTTGCGGGCAGTTAAAGCCTGAGTGTATATAGAGTCATATTCGTAAAAAGCTCAATATGTTCTGAATTATTAATCAGATAAATGCAAGATATAGGGACCAAAGGTTTTGTGGAATATGATTATTTATTTATGTTTATTACTCATGTATGTATAGTGAAATAAATTATGAATAATTATTTATTGGTGGTTTTGATGATGACCGGGTCAAGGTACGCGTTAAAATTCAGGTTAGGTGCCCACTTGTTTGACCATAAACCAATGTTAAAGCGTTTCAGGAATTTTAAACCAGTTGGGTTTGTTTGTGGATGTCAGATTCGACTTGACGGTTTTAAAACGATGCATTTTTTACTACCTTTGTCACAGAAAGAAATGAGAAAAAAAAAGCAAGAGGTGGGGAATGTAGTGAGAGGTATGCAGCGAAGAGAAAGGCATTTCGGTTATTTGGAATTGAGATTTGTAATAAATGTGTAATAAATTCGTATTTGCGACAATATTGCGCAGTCTTGAGATTGTTATGACACAGTTTATGGCCAATTAAGTACATGTAATAATGCATAGTCTGATTAACAAGTTCACAGAACTAGCCGAAAAAATACTACATGTTTTTGAAATTTTGTTGAGGAGATCAAGTCAGCAGAAAACAATGTGGTTTTCCGACAACGTCAAAATTTGAGTGCAAAACCGCTTCAAACTTTGGCCAAGATGAAGCGGCCAAATTTTAGTGTTCTCATGGCGACTCTCGTGATGGAGACAGTCTCGGATTTGCAAAAAGCGGGTCGGAAGTCCACCCTCAAAGACATCAAGGCTCGCGTTATTGAAAAATACGGAAACGCATCTGAAAAGTACCTCAAGTTGGTGCCGCAGTACATCAAAAAGGGGTTAAGTCTGGGCCTGATCGCCCGCTATGGTGACAACTATCGCACCAAGATGTACCTCGCCAAACGCCACCGCCGCCGCAGCAAACACATGAGGAGGAGGAGGAGGAGGCGACGGAGGAAACACCTATAAAATGTGTTTATTTGTCATGTTTTGTCGAATTTTGTGACTCAATAAATTGTACAAGCGGCCGAATTGTTTTTTATGCAAATTGGGAACGTTGAACCGGTGGACCGGTCGGTCCCGTTAGTACTGCGCTGTCCCACGGACATATTTCACCGTACCCTAATCTCGTTTCTTTTGAAAAATGTCTTTGCTGCAGGTGATCGATATTAGCACGACTTTTGCTAAACCCGCTGACCCACTGACTTGGTGATGGAAACATAAGCTTTACCTTATTTTCTGTATTTGGAGTTGGCTGTAACCTTCAATCGACTGCTGTTTTGAAATGTACCTTACTGGTGATTACACGCTTTTCGGTAAAAAATGAGAAATTGAAGGTTTGCAGTGAGTTTTTTCTAGTTAGGTAATTGCTTTTCCGTTCTCAACAGTCATCGGATGCAGTGGCATAATTTTCAAGTGATGAAGTTATTTTTATAAATAAATAATTCCTTGAGAATTTTTTGTTTTTGCACGATTAGCATCTTCTGCAATCAAACCCACTGAAAAGAAACCATTATTACACATAATTATTATTTGCGAGAATGTTATTACATGCAATTCTTAAAACGATTAATTTTATGCAAATTATATCCAAACGCTTCACTTAACAAAATTATTTAATTCAACGTATATGTACATACATTGAATTGTAACAGCAATACCACAATAAATATTGGTAATCTTTAATTCAATAAAGTATATTTATTTTGTACTCAATGTTAAATAGTGCTTTTATTAACTAATTTCAGTAGATAAAATAGTCTTTTATCGTCTAGTGAAATAAAGTAATTTTTATGTACTCCACTTTGACCAGTGTATCATCCAGACACAAGAAATTCTGGTAGGTGAGCATAAAGATTGTTTATCTAGTCGTAAAAAAAGTCCACTCGTGACGTCGTCACTCGTAAACTTAACCTTTTCACTCGTAGATAAACAATTACTTTATCGTCTTGTAAATAACTAAAGTCTATAGTGAGACACTAGTGAGCTAAAAACTTATGTTACTAAGAACTAAACTTACTTAATCAAAAAACATAAACACATTTTTTCTTAACATCTATTTAGGTGGTTTACTAGAACTAAAAAAATATTAGCTTTGTTTCAATAACCATATTAGAAATCCCCTAATTTTTCAAATCACAATAA